GAAATACAGCCCAAAAACATCCAAAAATACATTCAAAATACCCCAAATTCACTGAAAATACACCCAAAAATACCCCCCAGATACAGCCCAAAATACACCCAAACACACCCTAAAATACACCCCAAACACACCCAAAATACCCCAAATTCACCCCAAATACACCCAAAAAATTGACCAAAAATCCAGCACAAAATACAGCCCAAAACACCCCAAAATTCACCAAAAATACCCCAAAATACACCCAAAATACCCCAAATTCACTCCAAATACACCCAAAAAATTGATCAAAAATCCAGCCCAAATCCAGCCCAAAATACACCCGAAATACAGCCCAAAAATACCCCAAAATTCACCAAAAATACACCTAAAACCACACCCAAAATACCCCAAATTCACCCCAAACACACCCAAAAAATTGATCAAAAATCCAGCACAAAATACAGCCCAAAACACCCCAAAATTCACCAAAAATACCCCAAAATACACCCCAAAAATACACCCAAAATACCCCAAATTCACCCCAAACACACCCAAAAAATTAACCAAAAATCCAGCCCAAATCCAGCCCAAAATCCAGCCCAAAACACCCCAAAATCCCCTCAAAATCACCCAAAACCCTCCCAAAATTCCCAAATTTTTTAAGGAAAACCCCCAAAACTCCCAGATTTTTCGGGAACACCCCCAAAACTCCCAAATTTTTCGGGAAACTCCCCCAAAATTCCCTTTTCCCTTCCCCCTTTCTCCACCCAGGAATTTTTCGAGTCCCAAAACCGCCCCAAGAGGCCCCAAAAAATCCCAGATTTTTCCCAAATCCACCCAAGAAACCCCAAAATTTTTGGGAACACCCCCAAAATTCCCAGATTTTTCAAGAAAAACCCCCAAAATTCCCAGATTTTTCAGGAAAAACCCCCAAAAATTCCCTTTTCTCCATCCAGGAGCTCCCAAAACCGCCCCGGGGGGGTCCCGAAAAATCCCGAATTTTTCCCAAATCCACCAAAAAAACCCCGAATTTTTTGGGGAAAACCCCCCGAAACCCCCAAATTTTTCGGGAACACCCCCAAAATTCCCGAAATTCCTGGTTTTTTTTTTTGGCAGCAATGCAACGACGTGGGGCTGATGGCGTACCTGGGCACCATCACCAAAACCTGCAACACCATGAACCAGTTTGTGAATAAATTCAACGTTCTCTACGACCGCCAGGGCATCGGGCGCCGCATGCGGGGGCTCTTCTTCTGAGACAAAAACACCCAAAAACGGACAGAAACCGCCCAAAAACACCCCAAAAACGGCCAAAAACACCCAAAAACGGCCAGAAACGGCCCAAAAACACCCAAAAACCACCCAAAAACACCCAAAAACACCCAAAAACGGCCAGAAACACCCAAAAACCACCCAAAACCACCCAAAAACGGACAGAAACCGCCCAAAAACCACCCAAAAACAGCCCAAAAACACCCAAAAATGGCCCAAAAACGGCCCAAAACCACCCCAAAAATGGCCAAAAACCACCCAAAAATGGCCCAAAAATGGCCCAGAATGGAAAAACGGCACCGGAATTCACAGAAATGGACCCAAAATCCGGAAAAATGCACCCAAAATTCACAAAAACGGCACCAGAATCCATAAAAATGGACCCAAAATCCGGAAAAATGCACCCAAAATTCACAAAAACGGCACCAGAATCCATAGAAATGGACCCAAAATCCGGAAAAATGCACCCAAAATTCACAAAAACGGCACCAGAATCCATAAAAACGGACCCAAAATGCAGAAAAACGGAGCCAAAATGCAGAAAAACCGACCCAAAATTCATAAAAGTGGACCCGAAATCCACGAGAACGGCACCGGAATCCACAGGAATGGCTTCAAAATCCACAGAAAAGGACCCAAAATCCATAAAAATCGACCCAAAATTCATAAAAATGGACCCGAAATGCACGAAAATGGACCCAAAATGCAGAAAAATCGACCCAAAATCCAGAAAAATGGACCCAAAATCCATAAAAATCGACCCAAAATTCATAAAAATGGACCCGAAATGCAGAAAAATGGCCCCAAAAATCACAAAAACGGCACCGAAATTCACCGAAATGGCCCCAAAATTGACCCAGAGCCACAGAAAGACCCAAAAATCGGAGAAATTAACCCAAAATTGATAAAAATGACCCCAAAAGCAACAGAAACGGCCCCAAAATTCCCAAAACCCCCCCAGAATTCCCGGAATTCCCCGGAATTCCCGGAATTCCCCGGGATCGGCGCCGGGTTTGGGTCAATAAAGTCGAGTTTAAACAAAAGGAGAAATTTGGGGGTTTTTTCCCAGGAAAAGGGAAATTTTGGGGTGGAAAATGGGGATTTTTGGGATAAAAAGGGAATTTTTGGGGATAAAAAGGGAATTTTTGGGGATAATAAGGGATTTTTGGGCATAAAAAGGGAATTTCTGGGTTAAAAGGGAATTTTTGGGATAAAAAGGGAATTTTGGGGATAAAAAGGGAATTTTTGGGATAAAAAAGGAATTTTTGGGATAAAAAGGGAATTTTTTGGGATAAAATGGGAATTTTTGGGGATAAAAAGAGAATTTTTTGGGATAAAATGGGAATTTTTGGGATAAAAAGGGAATTTTTGGGATAAAAAGGGAATTTTTGGGGAAAAAAGGGAATTTTTTGGGATAAAAAGGGAATTTTTGGGGATAAAAAGGAATTTTTGGGGATAAAAAGGGAATTTTTGGGGATAAAATGGGAATTTTTGGGGATAAAAAGGGAATTTTTGGGATAAAAAGGGAATTTTGGGGATAAAAAGGGAATTTTTGGGATAAAAAAGGAATTTTTGGGATAAAAAGGGAATTTTTTGGGATAAAATGGGAATTTTTGGGGATAAAAAGAGAATTTTTTGGGATAAAATGGGAATTTTTGGGGATAAAAAGAGAATTTTTTGGGATAAAATGGGAATTTTTGGGATAAAAAGGGAATTTTTGGGATAAAAAGGGAATTTTTGGGATAAAAAGGGAATTTTTGGGATAAAAAAGGAATTTTTGGGATAAAAAGGGAATTTTTGGGGATAAAAAGGGAATTTTTGGGATAAAAAGGGAATTTTTGGGATAAAAAGGGAATTTTTGGGGATAAAATGGGAATTTTTGGGGATAAAAAGGGAGTTTTTGGGATAAAAGGGAATTTTTGGGATCAAAGGGAATTCAAGGAAAAGAGAAAACGACTCCAAATGGATAAAATTTGCATTTTATTAATCGATAAAAATCCGTTTATTGCTCCAAAAAACACAGAAAAAAAAAACCTGGGGGGGAATTTGGGAACTGCAGTCGGAATTTTGGGAATTCCCAGTTGGAATTCCGGGAATTCCAGTCGGAATTTAATCACTTTTTTCGGCATTTTTATCCAAATTCCATCATTTTCACCCCAATTTTGTCCATTTCCAGCTGAATTTCCCCCGTTTTCCCCCCCCTGGGTTTTTCCCCTTGGGTTTTTTTTTCCCATTTTTTGGTGTTTTTCCCATTTTTTGGGTTTTTTCCCATTTTTTGGGGATTTTTTCCCATTTTTTGGGGTTTTTTCCCATTTTTCCCCCCGATTTTTGAGGTTTTTTCCCAATTTTTTGGGTTTTTTTCCCATTTATTTTCAGTTTTTTCCCGATTTCCCCGTTTTTCACCCCAAATTTTTTCCCAATTCACACGAAGGTGATGTAATTCTGCCCAGGGTTCACCTGCAGCACCTCCAGAGCTCCCAAATTCCCCAATTTTGGGGTTTTTTTCCCATTTTTTGTGATTTTTTTGATTTTTTCCCAAATTTCCCGTTTTTCACCCCAAATTTTCGCCAGATTCAGACAAAAGTGATGTAATTCTGCCCAGGGTTCACCTGCAGCACCTCCAGAGCTCCCAAATTCCCCAAGTTCCCCCAATTTTGGGGTTTTTTTTCCCCAATTTGGGGGTTTTTTTCCCATTTTTGTTCAGTTTTTCCCCAAAATCCCCGTTTTTCACCCCAAATTTCCGGTTGTTTCACCCAAGTTCGATGTAATTCTGCCCGGGGTTCACCTGCAGCACCTCCAGAGCTCCCAAATTCCCCAATTTCCCCCAATTTTGGGGTTTTTTTTCCCCAATTTGGGGGTTTTTTTCCCATTTTTGTTCAGTTTTTCCCCAAAATCCCCGTTTTTCACCCCAAATTTCCGGTTGTTTCACACGAAGGTGATGTAATTCTCCCCGGGGCTCACCTGCACCACTTCAGAGCTCCCAAATTCCCCAATTTCCCCCAATTTTGGGGGTTTTTTCCCCAATTTTTGGGGTTTTTTTCCCATTTTTGTTCCGTTTTTTCCCGAAATCCCCGTTTTTCACCCCAAATTTTCACACGAAGGTGATGTAATTCTGCCCGGGGTTCACCTGCAGCACTTCCAGAGCTCCCAAATTCCCCAAAGCCGCCCTCACTTGGCCGGTTTTTCCGCCATTTT